ACACACACACACACGCCTGACAGGCTGACACGGCTGGCAGTCAGAAAAACAAGCATCCCAGCCTCTGCTGCAGCTGAGATTCCTTCCTGTTGGTTGGTCAATAAGGCAGGAACAGCATTCCTTGTAGTAAACAAAAAGTTTCAATCCATCCAGAGCAAGAAGAGGGAAAGGGGGGAGGGGGGAGGAGCAGTGAAGAGGAACGAGCAAATGACACAGTGACACAGACAAGCAAGGCGGATGATGGAGACAGGGCAAGGTGAAGAGCTAGGGAACGAGAACAAAGGTGAGGAAGGAAGAAAGAACAGGAGAGCGGTACGGTGAGCCGAGTTGGAGCAGAGGGGGAGGGAAAGGGAAGCGGCGGTGCTGTGCGAAGAGTCGCGGCGGTGATGCGAGCAGACGGAGTGGTGTGACACGCGTCCTCCGCTCTGCTTTCTGTGCTGTGATTAAAGAAATGTTCATGCTCTGGATGATGCTGAGAGGAGCACAGTACAGTACAGTACACTATACTCTCCACTCCATCTCTGCATCCTTCCACATTCCCCTCTCTCATTTGTTCTCCCGTTCCCTTCCTCATGTCTCCATCTTTCCTTCTCCCTCCCTCGTCCTCTCTCGCCAGATGTATTTTTGGCTCGGAGTGGCAGTTCTGCACGGCTCCACGCTGTAGCACAGCCGAGGAGCGATGACAAGTTCTCCCTCCCCTCCTCGCCCCGCTCATCTCCCACAACTTCAACCCCAGGCGAAGGATACAGATATGTTCGCATGCAGATGTTTATGTAAATGATGGATGGGACCTTACTGCAATACAACAGCCATTCGTTGGGAAATATCGCATAGAGTCTCGCATGATTATGTAATTACACATGCTGGCTGAGACCCACCGGTGTGTGTAATTACTTAATCATCAACGACTCGATGTGAGATATTTGTTGAGCTGGTGATGTGCTCCAAAGAAGAACGAGACACTGACTAATGTAACGTGATGGCACAAAATTAAGCATGGTAGCAAATTAAGTAACAGCGTAATTATAAATGAAATTAGATGCCAACAGGAAAGCAGCTGGTAGGAATGGAAACGGTTCGTTTAGATGTGAATCGGCATTTACTCGGCCTCTCCGGCAGAAAGGGATCGTTTGCGTTCCACTAACGTGTTTTCCACTTCACCGAATGTAAAAATCATCCACTTTAGCTTGTTAGAAGAAGGATGGATTAAACGCACATAATGAAACACATTTAAAGTACATATTAATGTTTAAAGAATATATTATTGCTCGTACAGAGAACAAGATAAAACTGATTTTAAAGCTGTAGCTCGTTTTATTAACAAAACATGGACCCGGGCATATTGTTCAAATATGGCACCGTATAGCACAAGAGCTTCCGCTGCCTTTGCCTTATTGGATCACGACATGGTAGAGAATTAAACGTGAGGTTTGATAACATGTTCTCCACTGAACTGTCCACCAACAGTACAATCTGATAGATATCAAACAAAACACAGGAAAAAACCTGACATCATAACAGCCTTTCACTGCTCATTAGGGAAGATAATTAATCAGAATACGACCCAAGACAGTAACCGTAAGTAAGAGGAATACGCCGTTCTTAGATTTCAAGAATGGTGAAATCATCAGAGCGGCAGAGCGCTGGCTCTTCCTACAACCAACATTCCCATCAGGAAAAATTTAGACAAAAGGACAGAAGGAGAAGTGAGATTCTCGAGTTGAAGTCATCATGCCACAGCAAGAAATAACAGATGAATGAGCAGACACAAACACAGACAGACAAACAAACAAACAGACATACTGTTGAAAGGTCTCAACAGAGTGTGTGTGTGTGTGTGTGTGTGTGTGTGTGTGTGTGTGTGTGTGTGTGTGTGTGTGTGTGT